TGTGTGTCCCAGAATGAAGATAAAGGAGATCTGTGACTCACCTGGGCTTGGAATATTCATGGGAAATAAATCTGTGTGTCATGGTTCACTAAGAGTCAGGGAAAGGGGTTCCTTATTTTTTATTATTAATAACCTAACCTAAGTTGCTAGTATGCTTGTTTAAACCACATCCTACACCTAAATCTTGATGGTCCTTTTAAATATTGCTGCATTTTGACCAATTTACAAACATCATTTCTTTATAGTATTATTAATGTGCAAAGCTCTAAATAGTTAGTAACAATTATGGTAAAAAAGTAAGCTGTATATAATTAAATTATGACTCAAAAACTGATCATCTTTAAGGAGAATTTTCATTTCTTTTTTGTACTGGAAGCTTCATTTGTAATAAATCACAGACTCTCCCAGTGTGACTGCTCTAAATAACATTCACTTGAAAAGACAGTTCTGCTATGGTATAATTTAGTAAAGTTAATTTATGATATCACCTTGTGAAATGGCTGCCTGTCTGCCCTTACCGCCATCCCCCAACTCTTTTCCTGGTATTCAAAAAAATACTGAGATGTCTAGCTAACGCATAATGCCAGGGTACTCTTTCAAACTCTTACTAAATTCACTCAGGTTTCTTTCCTCTATGGTCATTAAAACTTTCATGGTACTCTCACACATGGACTTTACTTCTTTGTCCTTTAAACAGCCAATGCACTCAGTTTGCTCTCTCATTAGGGCATATACCATGTGGGGCCAGTGTTAAAGTGTAGAAAGGTGGTGTTAGTCATCAGAGATGACTAACAATGTGGGCTCCGCCATTTACTAGCTGTCAGCCTGTGCTTCATTTTGCTTTATTCCATAAAATGGAGAAAATAATTTCTCCAGAATATTATTATGGAGAAAAATAATTTCTCCAGAATATTATTATAAAATTCAAATGAGTTGATTTACATAAAGTGTTTAACAGTACTTGGTATGTAATAAGGTCTCCAAATATCAACTATTATTATGTATTTATTTTTCATGGTAATAAGTATTTATTTATAAATTTATCTTTATTTCCATCTAGCTGCTATGTAACTGTTTTTATAAGCATTGTAGTAGTGTATTCTTTTATAAGCTTATCTTTATTCCCAATCAGATATTATGTTCTTGGCTACAAGAACATAGTTTTCTGATTGGAGCTGTTAAAATATAAACTTAAGCATATTAAAAATTATGAGTTTATTTGAAAAAAAAACTATTTGAATTGGGCAGCATCCAATCTAGCAGATAAATAGGAGCTCTGAGGGAGCTATGTGATTGAATGACTTTTGTAGCCAAAAGACAGTAGGAATAAAGAATTATACTAAGCAAAAAAGTGGGTTTATTATTGCTAAGTTAAAGAAATACCTTGATCTATTGTGTTTTGCTTTATTGTGCTTCACAGATATGGCTCTTTTTACAAATAGGAGTTTTGTGGCAACCCGTCATTGAGAAAATCCTATTGGCATAAGTTTTCCAACAGCATCTGCCCATTTCATGTGTCTATGTTACATTTTGGTAATTCTTGCAATATTTCAAACATTTTCATTATTACATTTGTTATGGTGATTTGTAATCAGTTATCTTTGATGTTACTATTATAATTGTTTAGGAGCACCACAAACTGTGCCCATGTAAGATGTGTGGGTTCTGACTGCTGCACTGATCAGCTGTTCCCCCATCTCTCTCCTTGGACCTTCCTGTTTCCTGACACACAAATTAGGCCAGTTAATAACCAGATAATGTCCTCTAAGTGTTAATGTGAAAGGAAGGGTCACACATTGTTCACATTAAATAAAAGGTAGAAATTGATAAATTAGAAAGGCCTGTCAAAACCAAGATAGGCTAAAAGCTAGGCCTCTTAAACCAAACAATTAGCCAAGCTATGAATACAAAGGAGGAGTTTTAGAAAGAAATTAAAAGTGCTACTCCAGTAAACACACACAAATTATAGGAAAGCCAAACATCCTTATTGCTGATGTGGAGAAAAATTTAGTGGTCTGGATGGATCAATCCAGCCAAAACATTTCCTTCGGCCAAAACCTAATCCAAAGAAAGGCCCTAATTGTCTACAATTCTATGAAGAATGAGAGAGGTGAGGAAGCTGCTGAAGAGAAGTTTGAAGTTAGGAAAGGTTGGTTCTAGAGGTTTAAAGAAAGAAGCCGTATCCATATCATAAAAGTGAAAGGTGAGGTTGATATAGAAGCTGTAGCCCATTGTCCAGAAATCTAGCTAAGATAATGAAGCTGACTACATGAACACTTGGGTTTCAGAGTACACAATTCAGATTTCTATAGGAAGCTGATGTCATATAAGACTTTCATAGCTAGAAAGGAAAAGTCAGTGCCTAGCTTCAAAAGACAGTCTGACTTTTATGTAAGGGGCTAATAATGCACCTTGTTATTTTCAGTTGTCTCCAACTTAAAATAATGCTTATTTACCATACTGAAAATCCTAAGACCCTTAAGAATTATTATATATCTACTCTACCTGTCTACCTGTGCTCTACAAATGGAACAACAAAGACTGAATGACAACATATTTGATTACATGATATACTGAATATTTTTAAGCCCACTGTTGAGATCTACTACTCTGAAAACATTTTCTTTTAAAATATTACAGCTCATTGATGATGCAACAGGTCACTCAAGAGCTCTGATGGAGATGTACAGTGAGATTAATGTTGTTTTGATGCTTGCTCACACCACATCCATTCAGAGCAATTTCAACTTTCAAATCTTATTATTGATGAAATACTCTTTGTTAGACTACAGATGCCATAGATAGTGATTTCTCTGTTAGATCTGGACAAAGTAAATTGAAATTCTTCCGTAAAGGGCTCATGATTCTATGTGCCATTAAGAACATTTGTGATACATGGGAAGAGGTAAAATATTAACATTAACAGGCATTTGGTGGAAGTTGACCACAGCCCTCATGGGTGACTTTGAGGGGTTTAAGAGTTAAGTAGAGGAAGTAATTGCAGATGTGGTAGGAAGAGCAAGAGAACTAGAATTAAAAGTGACTGAATTGCTGTAATCACATGATGAAGTTGATGCATTTTCATTAATGGATGAGGACCTGCTTCTTGTTGATGAGCAAAGAAAGTTGTTTCCTAAAATGAAATATATTCCTGGTAAGGATGCAATAAAGATAATCTAGATAACAATAAGATTGGGAATATTACATAAGCTTAGTTGATGAAACTATGGAAGGGTTTGAGAGAATTGACTCCAATTTTTAAAGAAGTTCTACTGTGGGTAAAATGTCAAACATCATCACATTCTACAGAGAAATCATTCATGAAATGTAGAATCAATCAATGTGGCACACTTCATTGTTTAGTAAATTACTACAACCACTACAACCTTCAGCAACAACCACCCCAATTATTCAGCATCCATCAACATAGAAGTACCACCCTCCACCAGCACAAAGATTATGACTTGCTGAAGACTCAGATGGTAATTAACATTTTCTGCATAAAGTATTTTAATTACATATATACATTATTATATTTTACACATAATGTGATTATTGCACACAATAAACTACATTGGAATGTGAACCTAACATATGCACTGAACTAGAAGATTTGTGTGTCTCATTTAATTGCACTACTCCCTTTATTGCTGTGGTCTGGAACCAAGCCTGTAATACCTCCCAGGTATGCCAGTAATTTTCTTTAGGGAATGGCATCTGTCTATCAGGCAGATTATCTAACTAGTGATGATCTGTCTATTTCTTATTCATTGGTTTCCCAGAAATGGAGTCTGTCTGAAGACTCTGTCTGAATGGAGTCTGTCTGAAGACTCCATTTCTGGCAAAGCTAAAACTATAGTTGTCAGTTCGGTGACATGAGGCTTAGCATAAGTGACTCCATTTGGGGCCCATTGTCTTGATTTTAACAGTGTACATCATACTATGCAGCAAAACAATTTATGAACATGTCGTAGTAGCTGCAGGACAGTCCGTTCAATCCAGGTTCAGAAACATAAGTCAGGGAGAACACAATTTGAATCCTTTTTGGCTGTAATGGCCTATGTGATCTGGAAGCATAAGTTAAACTCCCCAAACCCTGTTTACACAATAGAGAGAGTTAGGATTAATATCTGTACCCATGTTTGATTAACATTAGTTATAATAATGTATGTAAAGCCTTTAGCACAGGGCCTGGCACATAAGTAATGATAGTTTATGTTCACAGATGCACTGTGCAGATAGGCACAATGAACAAAGGGATTACTCTAAAAATTTTACAATGATTCTCTACTTTTCCTAATATCTCTAACATGTGAATCCTGAAACGCAGCCAGGCTTTCCATTAAGCTTTGCTTATGCTTTTCTCTAGATGTTTTCTATCTATAGATATTGTCTCCCTGATATGTGTACATGTATCTGGATTAACAAGGTTGTTCTTTTTATTTTTTATTTTTGGCACTTTTACTTGAACACAAAGATAGCACATGTTAGGTGCTTAATAAATATTTAAAACTTGGATTTGAAAACACTAGGTATTTAGCCAAAGTTAGACAAATTTAGAACTTTCAGATAGCTCATTAATAGACTCACCAGGACCAAATTTAGAACAATTCAAGCTTTGTTCCTATAGGTAATAAATGTTTGACTTTCAAGGATCATTACAGAAACATATGATTTAATATTTATAGTGAGAACTTGATATAATTCATTACTTCACTAATATTTTCAATAAACAGTTCTTTACACTAAAAACAAATCTTTTAAATAGATTAAGCTTGTGCTTTGCATGTCTCATTCCCATTAAATTAATAGTCTGAGAATTCATACCTAAACATGTTTAAAATTAAAATATGTTCTTTGTTTTTTACTGCAGGGTATCAAATTGTCTTTATGGGAAAGGAGTCTTGATTTATTGGTAATGTTTATCATAATGAACAAGCTTTTGTGTTTTGCATTTAAATAGTCTCATGTTTTGTCTTGTCCTGTCTCTTCTAATATAGGCATCAACTGTGAAGTGGATATAGAAGAATGTGTATCAAAGCCCTGTCTTCATGATGGAGCTTGTATTGATCTTGTCAATCATTATATCCGTGACTGCAAGGGTGGCTTTTTTGGAACACACTGTGAAACAAATGCAAACGATTGCCTCTCTAATCCTTGTCTGTATGGAAGGTAGCTATTTTTATTTTCTATTATTTAATCTAAGAAGGTAAATTTAACTCAACATTTAAGACAATATCAAGGGCAAGTAAAGTTAATTTTAATTATAGTCTTTCATATACTAGAACTAAGTACAGTTAAGATGACAGATGCTGCCTATTCTACTTAATACAATGTACTGACATATTTTCTCTGCTTTTCTTTTATTTATACTTATTAGGAAAAATCAATAAATATATAGTATTTGGAATTAATATACTTAAAGTTAACTGCTCAAAGTAATAGACGTAGCAGGTAGGATGAGGAGACAATTTATTATTTGCTCTGTGGAGGGATAATACCACACACTTAGAATTTAAAATGTTCCTAAATAATCTGTGTTTTTATCCCTACGTGAATGTAAGGAATTTTGTGGCTCTCTTTATGGAATTGTGTAATAACTTCTGCTCATGGGTAGAAAATAGTTTTATGCAAATACAGAGAGGATATTTCTAGGAGATGCAAGTGGCAAAGAATGGCTCTCAGATGCATCAAGCTGTCTTCACAGCATTATTGTTACTTTTTTTCCTCATCCTGCCACTATGTAAGCAGAGAAGAGAAGACGAAGATGTGTAGCTCACTGCAATGGAGTTCGGCTATAGCTGACTTCAGTTTCCTACATAAACCCTAGACATTCTGTAGACCTTTTAGAACTCTTCTTTCTTTTCACTGCCATGGGTAAGATGGCAAAAATAAGCCCTGGCTGGTGTAGCTCAGTGGATTGAGTGTGGGCTGGGAACCAAAGTGTCCCAGGTTCAATTCCCAGCTAGGGTACATTCCTGGGTTGCAGGCCATAACCCCCAGCAACCGCACATTGATGTTTCTCTCTCTCTCTCTCTCTCTCTCTTTCTCTCTCTCTCAGTCTCTCTCTCCCTCCCTTCCCTCCCTAAAAATAAATAAATAAAATCTTAAAAAAATAAATAAAAATAAAGTACTTAAAAAAAAAGATGGCAAAAATAAGAATTAATTTGTTTTTTCAGTCCATTAACCTTGAAGGCTGACTAGTCTGTTATTCATGGGAATGTGTATCTTTTTTTTTTAAAGCTGAACTGGAAAAGAGCAGTTCTAAATAGTTAAACTCTAATGTTTAATGTCTTATTTAAAATGTCATTGTCTGTTTCAGATACACAGATCTCATTAATGACCATCAGTGTTCATGTGATACAGAATGGACTATCTCAAGATGCGAAATCAAGATTAATGTAAGTTTTATCATTTTGATATTTTGATTAAATATGAAGTAGTTTAAAAGAAAACCAAACTACAGGGTCCAACAGAAGTAATGCCTGCTTGAGTGTGGTTGGTACAGTAATAATATGGGTGTAATAATATCTAGCTTTTTCATATTTTTTTATACTGGGTTAAGTACAGTTGTCTTCATTTCCCCCCCAACAACTAAAACTCTCAACAACTCTCCCCAACCCCAGCAACTAAACTTACCCCTCTTGATCCCACCCCCTTTAGTTTTGTCCATGTGTTCTTTATATATGTTCCTAAAAACCCTCCCCTATTCCCTCCCCATTATCCCCTCCCATTTTGCCTCTGGTTACTGTCAGTTTGTTCTTTATTTCAATGTTTCTGGTTATATTTTGCTTGCTTGTTTGTTTTGTTCATTAGCTTCCACTTGTAGGTGAGATCATATGGTATTTGTCTTTCACCACCTGGCTTATTTCACTTAGCATAATGCTCTCTAGACCACCTATGTGTCAAAAAGGGTAGGAGCTCCTTATTTCTTTCTTTTGCATAGTATTCCATCATGAAAATGTGCCATGGTTTTTTGATCCATTCATTTACTGATGGGCACTTATTTGAACATTTCAACTAAAATGTCATATGATGTGCTTGAGTAAGATATTGTTATGTTACAGAATTGCATGCTTATGATTTTGTAATAAAAAAAGGATGTTACTTGTGCCAGACCCTGTACTTGCTGTAGGTTTCAAAGTCGCTTCTTTGATTATTAATTATTTAACTACCTTGTCCCTCACCATTTTGTTTAGGAATTTTTCTGTCACTCCAAAAAAAAATAACAGCCTCCTTTTGCCTCCCCCCCCCTTGTTATCATAAACTTCTGCAACCTAGAGCCCTCAGTAAACTAAATCCTGGGTTTGATCTTTGGCAAAAGGACCTCAGAAGGCTTATGACTTGCTGCCTGATTCCCCCTCTAAGGTCTTAGAATACACAAATGTCTGTGCATGTGTAGGGATGAGAGGAGAATAAATGATCCAGATACCACAGGAAAAAATAAATACTAGATAGATGTGTGAAGAGGTGGGTACATGTAACAAACATCCATGCCTATAAATATGCTCAGTATCTGTCTTCCAATCTTCAGGAGCCTGGTGTATTATACCTGACATATGGTATTTTATGTGGCATGCCTCATCTGCGAAGAAATGTTGATTACCTGAAGTTTGACACTTTTCTTGCTGGATGAGAACCTCATGAGCCTTCCTGAAAAGTGGAGAGTTCTTCCAAATCCTCTCTGACTGAGAGTTACATGCTAAAGGCATGAAGCATAGGGACTAAAAACAGCCTTTAGCATTGTAGGACTATGGATATTTTATTTAAATTCATCTGTCTCTCTCCTGCCTCTTGTCACTCAGAAAAAATATAGTTCATACATTACAGTGTCATTGTGAAGCATGTAAGATGTGGTAGATACTCAGTAAATGATGGGAGTGATGAGGTAGTTAAATGCATTAGGGAGAAAAAGGGTTGATGTCTATTTTCCTACTTACCTGCTGTGTGTTCTTGAACAAATTCTGTACTTATATTTTAAAATCATCATTTAACTATTCAGTGAGAGTGATCATAGTAACCACCTCTTAGGCTATTGTGGGGATTAAACTAAATAATGCATATAAATAAATTAGCACATTTTTCTAATACATTATTTTTTAAAGCTTAATTAAATTGTTGATATTATATTGATTTGGTTCTAGACAGTGAGAGCCATATATGATGTGAAAAGGAAAATGTTTTAATTAATAAATTTCCTGATAGATAAAGCATCTATCTTGTTGGCACTATTGCATTTATTGCCTGTAGTATCCTCTAAAAATTATCTCTTGATAGTATAGATATGGCATTCATCTTTGGAATGAAATATGTAAATAAATATACATTTTTAAATTTTACTTATTGATTTTTAGAGAGAGAGGAGGAGAAAGAGAGTCATCAATTTGTTGTTCCACTTATTTATTCACTTACTGGTTGATTCTTTTACGTGCACTGACCTAGGATCAAACAGCAGCCTTAGCATATAGAGACAACAATCTAAGCAGCTGAGCTACCTGGCCAGGGCTACATAAATATATTTTTTATAAACAAATTTATATATATTTATACTTATATCAAATGCTATGAGAACAATTGTTAAAATTGCCTAGATTTTTTCTAATTTTTTGTATAGGAAAATGATCTGATTATCCTCCTTATTCAGTGACTTCTTGTACCATATTGTATATCTTAGGAACATTCCATTATAATTCATAGAGTCCTGACACAGTCCTTTTAATAGCTAAAGATAATTCCAACTAAAAGGATTTCAAAAAAACTACACTTATTTAATGAGACTATGAGCATACCAACTTTTGTAGATCTTATGAAGTTAATAAACATTTTTAAGTGTTGACTAATTTGATGAGGAAAATATAACATGTGATTATTTTAATTTACATTTTCCTAGGTTACTATAAAGACTTATCACCTTTCCATATGATTATTTTCCATTTGTATATCTTCTTTATGCCTTGTCTATGCATAGTCTTTAATTAATCATAGTTTTCTTTAGGCTTGCTTCCCTTTTTCCTTGGTTTGCACATATTATTGAAAATTAATAATAAAATCCACTGAATTCTGCAAAATTGCAAATATTGTGCACAGCTTGGCTACTCTTACTTTATAAAACTAGTAAACTGTAAAATGTTTAAGTTTTTTAACCTTTTTTAAAAATTTATTTAAATTGTTGTTGCAGAACAATTTTCTATCTTTTACTTCCATCCCAACTTTTTAACCTTTTTAATGACTCTTTTTATCTCTCCTTAGAACATGCTTTCATACAGCATTATTTAAATCATTTTCTTACATTTTTATCTACCACAATTTTAGGCTTGACAATACTTTTAATACCTTAACTCATAGTGAATATTTGTTATAATGAAAGAAGACAGGAATTTGATTGTTTTTCAAAAGTATAATTAATTTTCCCAAGAACTGTTATCAAAATTTCATCTAAAAATGTTATTTCTTTACTTATTTGAAATGTCTCATATTTTATGCTCTTAGTTCCTATACCTATTAGAAATATCTATTGTTTTCCTGCCCTTTAAAAGCTCACTTTTCCATATATATGAATTATTATAGTTCAATAGAGTTTTTAGAAATCTTTTTTACTAATATTTTAAGCAAACTCTAAGTGTAATTTTATTTGTTCTGCAAATATTCGATGTTCAATGTCTATGAGGAACCAAGATATAAGAATTTTGACATACTTCCTCACAATCAGTTTTATTTGGAGATATAGATATGTATCTTACTTAGCTGACCTATTTATTGTATCTCTATGTTGCAATGCACTGATAGCAGCCTCCAAAGGGCATTGTTGCATTAATGTCCAAGTCTATTTTTCCAGGGTAAAGATAAAAGAGCAAAGGAGAAACATGGACAGAGCTGATTGAAAACAACACTTAGGTCATTACAGAACAGGAGGTTATATATGAAGCTTCTTAAAGAGTAGATAAACAAAGTTTGTGTTAGGTCTGCAGGGAAAAAAATCAAGCAAACTTTTTTCTGTCAATCTAAAAATTTGAGGTAAGTTTTAAAAATTAGAATCAATACTGAAGAAAAACAAACTCATGACTGGGTATGGAATGGATACTGTGGTTTTGCAACATATCACTAACTGAACTCTTGGGACAGGCACAGAGAAAGGGAGAGATAAAAGAAAAGAGAGGAGAGTGATATAGATAGCAAACATTCCCCTCCACTGTGTTGGGACTGAGGATAACTGTTGCAAGAGAGCAGTGCTGTGTGTGTTTGCTGTAGCACTTATAAATATATGAAAATGCTAAAATGAAGAAAGAAAACATGGTTACAGAATAAAAGAAGGAATCAAAACATCTTAGAATAAAGAAAAACTAAGAATTTATCACCAGAATATCTAATATAAAAGAAGGACTAAAGGAAGTTCTAGAAACAGAAAAAAAAATGACTAAAGAAAATAACATGTGTGCAAGTATTTGTATTTCATCAAATGCCAGCTGCCATTTATACAGGCATTTTTATATAATAAGATTATTTACCTTTTGCCTATCATATATATTATATTATATGTGCTTTTCTATTTGCATTAATGTCAATCAAGACATAATGGATTCTGACATCAAAAAGGTTAATGTACCAAAATGGAAAGAGATTTACTGAGATTTCTGGGTATTTCTGTACTTACTGAGATTTCTGAGATTTCTGAAAAGGTTCTGTCACTTGTAAAAAGTTTTAAAGGGGGTTAGCCAACAAGTTCTTCTAGTATTTTTCTCATTGTCTTTTAATTTGTGATAAATTATGGGTTCATCAGTGTGTTTTTCAGTGGGTAAGGTTTCAGTTGAAATTCCCCAGCAAATGATCAGCTGTTTCCCACAAGTCATTGTACAGAATACCTACCTTCTGTTTGAAAACACATCTCTAAAATAAAGGAGATCTTGTAAATGGGAATTTTATCAAGGTACATGTAGAGTACCTTGATTTTTTAAATTTAATCTGCTATTGCAGATTATTCTACATTAACACATGTGTCTTTACTCTTATTAATATTATATGGCATGAGGTACTATTTTATTTAATCAGTATCCTATTGATGGCAATTTAAGATATTTTAAGTATATTGCTCTTAAAAATTATTTATGTACTTTAGATGTAGAAAATTGAGTTAATCACACTCTGTTTCATTTAGGAAATAATCACTAATACTCTCCTGCTCATTTGTGTGTGTTTGTGTGTGTTGTGTCTGTGTTTCCTTTTGGCCTCACAGCCTATTCCATTCCCACCATGTTTGTGTTTTTATTCGGAACCTTTTCTTACATATTTTTTCCTATATGTTTTCTCTATTTCTTAATTTGTTCTGGTCCATAAATCTTGAATCTCTAAGTTACAAACAGATTTATTTTACTGTTCAGGCAAGAGTAAGCTCAAACCTGAGTGAGAAGAGTGAAACAGGTGGGGCCGAGGCTGCTTCTGATCACTGACACCAGCCCCTGTCCCTTACAAAACTCCAGACTCCTTAGCACGGTGTTCTCCATCTTTTGGATCACCTGTCCACATTTGATGCTTCATTTTGCCAAGTTAGAAATAGAATATAAACTTTAGATTTCTTCTGAAATATTCTTTTATCTGAGGAAATAGGAGTGTGTATTTTTAACATGTTTGGAGCTTTATATTAACTTTTAAAAATCTTCATGTTTGTTTTATGAATTTGGCATTGTGTCTAGTTTCAGGCCTGGTGTATTTTCTTTACTGTTTGATTCATCTGTGCATTTCTGACTGTTTCTGAGACAATTTTTTTTTGTTTCCTTGTATTTCAGTGGCTTTGTTTCCCAGATATAATGCCAGATACATCTTAATAAAAAATAAAAATGGATATTTACAGCAAATATTCTCATTTTCATATTTTAGAATCTTCTTTGATTTTTTTAATAACAAAGTTACTTCCTTTATATCAAAACACCATATATCAGATTAAATTTGTTATCAAACAAAAGTTTCTCTCTATTAACTACTTTATCCCTACATTTAACCATGTAAGATTTGAAAAAGAACAAAATAGAAAATGAAAATTATAAGTAAACACTTGGAACATTAAGCCTTTATCATATGCATTATAATTTGGACAATTCTGTAGCCAAGAAAATATTTTGAAATAGAAAGTAACACTTGTTGGTACAATAAGCCCTAAGTTGGAATTCAGGGGATTTAGTTTCAGGGCATGTGATTTTATTCTGCTGTCACTCTGTTTTACAACCTTGGTAAGTCATTCTAACACCCTTGGGCTTGTCCTCATCCTTGTGACTAAGCTGAAATTATGGGGCTACCTTCTTGCTTCTTGGGCTTTGTTTGGTCCATGTATCATAAGTATGAGAGGATTCATTGGAAACAGAGAAATTCAGGCCCCACACCAAACCTGTTACTGAATTTGAATCTGTAATTTAACAAGCTTAATTATTAATATACAACTTAAATTTTATAAATAATAAACTATAATAATACTTTTTATTCAGAACCAGACAAAATTTGAAAAATTCTGTGATGCTTAATAAGGTTTTGTAGTACGTAGGGCTTTAATGGGCAGCTGCCGGATTTCCCTCTTCAAATAAAACAGTTATATGATTATCTGTTTAACCTATTCTGTTTTTCCAAGATTGTATTGGAAGAAAATACAACACTACTTTAAAAATGGTAGTTCTAAAACAGAAATCATATGATTCTAGGAGAGAAATGTTTTATGGTAAAGATGAAACCAGAGAATAAATTTCTGTTATGCTGGGAAGTTCAGAGATCCCTGGACAAACTTTTGGAATTAAACTATATGCCTTAAATAGAACACAATCGCCAGAGAGATGACTGGCACATTTACTAGCCAATCTGGTGGTTTGCTCTGCGTAAGCAGTCCACAATGGATATGTCACTGCTCTTTCATTCACACTCCGGTTCCTTTCCTGGTGTGGTGTTTTGAATACGAGTTGGATAGATGTAGCATCGAGGTCTAGCTTAATTGTATAGATTGTCATGGTATGAGACATTACACCCTGCCTCCTTCTTTTTCTCTAAACACACCAGCTTTTCATTTCTTTCTTTCTCTGAAATTAAATTAGTGAATTCCCCTTGGGAAGCACTTTATTATATTAAATAGGGTGTAGTAAAATAATATAAATGATCATGAACAAAAGGAAAGGCATTCTCCTTAATTTTTGAACCAGAAAAGATCAAGAACTTTGACACTTTGATTTGTTTAAAGAAATTGTTTTTGTATTTCCCATTAAGCCTTCTAATTAATTTAGTAAGAGATTCTTGTAAACCCTAGAGACAGAAATTTTGGCAGTCCAAAATTATTTCTTTTTTCCATGGGATATATAATTCAATTAATTTATATAATGCTTTCTAATAAATCATTCTATGTATACTCAGCCATAGGGATAAGAGAGAAATATGTTTCCAGGCCATTCCCTGTAGAATTTTGATATTTACATCCCATAAAAATAACTGCAGTACCTGCACAAAGTCCATTAAATGCCCTTGATTATCCTTAAGGAGTTCACATTTTCAGCAAAGGTACAGAATATATCAGAATGGTATGCTTATAAAAACATACATTTAACTCTATCTCTTGAATTAATATAAAAGATCACTGTCTTGGTTCCAAGCATGACTTGAGCTTTATACTGAAGGGTACAATCCATCAGAAATGATAACAATTAAAGTCTCTGGTGAGTTTGACAAGCCTTTAATTTTTCATTTGATGCATGATATGAATGCAAAAATAAATAAATGAAAGATATATCAAAATAAAATCTGCACAAGTAAGGAAATCATCAATAAAATGTAAAGGCAACCTCTGGAATGACAAGACATTTGCATACCACCTATCTAATAAGGGGTTAATATTCAAAATATGTGAGAAACACAGGAAACACATGGTGAAAGAACAAATAACCCAGTTAAAAAAACAAGCAAAGGATTTGAATAGACATTTCTCTAAAGAAGCCACACAATTGGCAATAGGTAGATGAAAAGGTGTTCAACATCATTAATCATCAGGGAAAGGCAAATCAAAACCATAATGACATATTACCTCACAGCTATTAAGCTGTCTATTATCAATAATGCAAGAAATAAGAAGTGATGGCAAGTATGTGGAGAAAAGGGAACATATATATACTATTGGTGGGAATGCAAACTGGTCCAGCCACTATTAAAACCAGTATAGACCTTCGTCTATTCAAAAGGTTAAAAATATAACTATCATATAACCCAGAAATCATACTTCTGGGTATATATCCAAAGAAAACAAAACTTATGTCAAAGATATATTTGTAGTCCTGTGTTTATTTCAGCAATATTCACGACAGCCCAGGTATAGAAACAACCCAAGTCTCTATTGACAGATGTTTGGATAAAGAAGATGTGTTATCTACTATATATACAATAAAATATTATTCAATCTTAAAAAAAGAGAAGGAAATGCTGCCATCCATGACAACATTGATAAACCTGGAGGACATTATGCTAAATGCAATAAGATAGACAGAAAGACAAATCCTGCATGGTATCACTCATATGTGGAGTATTAAAAGGAAAAAAAGTTAAACTTGGTAGAAACAGAGGTGGAACGATGGTTGCCAGGTGGAACAGTGTGGAAAAAAATAGGAAGAAGCTGGTAAATGCCACAAACTTTCAGTTATTATATGATTATTACTTTTATAAATGGTACATAAATACAGTTTAATAAAGACTTTTTCCCTCAAAATATAATAATAAAACACTTGATAGAGTATTTCTGGTGATAAAGGTGAATACAATTCATTACTAGAAAAATACTTTAGTTACTAGAGGAAGGGGATATCAGATAAGCTTGCATATTGGTTTCTTTAAAGTGTTTAACATAAGAAATTTTTAATAAAATTATTAAACTTACAACTAATGATCAAATTTGATTCTCTATTTCTGAATTTAGGGCTGCGCATCAATCCCTTGTATGAAAGAAGGCTCCTGTCAGAAGTCAGACCATGGTTTCACTTGCATTTGCCCAAGTGGATGTACTGGTGCACATTGTGAGATAAATACTGATAGTCGTGCGGAGCCTGAACTGAATTTGGACCTCTGTCCTAAAGGAGGGATTAGTGTTCATGAATCTGGACACACTTTGTACTTCAGGTCAGTGTTTCTTTATTATTATTAACCAGATATATATTTAGGAAAGCTTATAAACATCCTCTAGTAATGCACTCTGAAGATACTAAGTTTTTAAGTAAGTTTTCATCATGTAATCACAAATTTGAAATAAATAATTCTAAGAAAGCATTGCTTATGTTTTTCCAAACATCATGTATTCACATCAATCCCATGCTGGTCTTCTGAATATAATCATCACTTATTTTTATAATTGTTTCATATCACTCTTCCCTTCCCAAATTGGGTTCTTATTCATTTACTTCTATATTCACCATATAAACATTTTATAAATTGTTCATACTTACATTATACTTTTTAAGCAGATACTTATTTCTATCACTGCTATATTTATCTAAGAGCTTAAAAACAAATGATTTATTTATGAATATTCATAAAAACAAATTAACCTGTCAACATATTTTTGAACCAATTATTATTATGGAATCTTTTTTAATTTCTTAGGAGATTAATTTTCATTACTTTTGTTCTTTATGATTATATGATATATATAAATGGTCATTTGAGAAATTTTAGCCATTATCAGTTCAATTTGCAAAACATTAATTGAACCTGCATATTAAATACAAAAAAAAAATGCACTTCTTTTCTCTCAGTGTCATTTGTAAGAGGCTATCATTAAGCTAAAAATCTGTGAACAATTGTGTTTCTGTCAAAATATCTTAATTCACTAATAAATTAACCATGTATACTTTCATATATAATTATTTACTAAAAATAATATCTATTATTTCCAATAGATATTATCTATTAGACACATATTTTATCACTTGTCTTTAAGTCATTAATGTATTCTGTCTTATAATTAATACTGCCATGACCTTATTTTCTTTGTTCATCTATGTCGTGTTTTTGCCCTTCTATTTATGTTAGTCTGTATTATATTTTCTTTGAGGTATATGTCTATCTAGTAAAGCACACACATGGATATTAATTTCACATAAGCACAAGATTATCTTTTTATTTAGCACATGCAGACTGTTTAGTTATCATTATGAACAGTTATCCTTATTTATTACATATTGCCTAATGTCCCATTTCATTTTTTTACTTTTCTTTTTCTTTTATTTCTCATTTTATTGAGTTTATTGAGGTGACACTGGTTAACAAAATTATGCAGGTTTGAGATGCACAACTCCACAACATGTCATCTGTACACTGTATTATGTGTTCACCACCCTAAATCAAGTCTCCTTCTATCACCATTTATGCCCCTTTATCCTTCTCTACCTACCCCTGCCCCACCCTCTCCCTAAAAATCACTGCACTGTTGTCCATGTCCATGAGTGTTTTCCCATTTCATTTGTAACATTATGTGTGTGTGTAGTTGTGTATAATTGTATGTGAGATCTCTCTTGTATTTTGTATTTTTTTTGAGCATGGATTTTGCTTATTTTATTCTGGTGCCCTGATAAAGTATAAAAAGTAAACATGTTTCTAATACCAATATTAATTGTGTAGAATAAACTTATAAAAGTGATCACTTGAGCATTGTAAGGACCCCTCCAGTTAATCAGTGCCTGGATTAAGTAAGCAACAATAATTTGAACATTTATTCACTGTAGATACAAAGTTATAAATCAAGACTTTATTCATGGAAACCCAATAAATTCAATAAAAAATAGAAATAAGTGAACCTAAAACTGAAATGTATGTTTTTGTACCTGAGATAGTATTTGTTTAATGAAGCCCTATAAAGGCTACTCTATAGAATGTTCTTTTAGAGGATGTTATCCATGGCATAGTTAGGCTGGCCTTTCTTAAAGCATGAAGTCAGTGGAATTCAAACTAAAGAGACCTGCTTCTTTTTCTGAAATATCCCCCAGGGACAAGCATAGGCATCCATTACTGCTACAGGGTTGTTCAAATTGTATTTAAATAAGAGTCAACTGTCTTCAAAATTTCCACTGCTAATTCAATGCTCCTCAAAGTCCCCGAAAGTCTCTGAATGGTAAATGCTGGGAGGTTCAGCTTCTAGGGGACTGGCAGAGTGATTGTGAGGAGCCATCAAAGGTGGTACCAAGTTAGCACAGTCCTCAGACAGTTTATTTATAAAAGAAAACTTGTTATGACAGGGAGAGATTTGCAAGTAAAATCCTCAGATTTTTGTGTGGGTCAAAAGTTAATCTGTAATATACTTATTTAAACCTTATTCAAATAATTGTTTCTTTATTGAAAAAATTATATCAAACTTATTTTTGATCCCTGTTTTACATTAAAATATAATAACATATCTTACTCTTCACAATGTATATCAACCTAAAGTTAAAAAGCCAAAATGAGAGGGAACAAGCATATTTATTTGGGATCAAAGCATTGTAATTTGGGGAGAAACCCAAATAATATTCCAATTACAGGGTGAAGCAAAAGTTTTGTTTGTGTTCTTGTTTGTTTGTTTGTTTTGGTTTGAAGAAAAATGATAATTAATTACATGAAAAAGTCCTTTTGTTGCTGACAAACTAAGCTATTCTTTCCTATACATGATTGGTAACTGATTCTATCTTCATATATAAGGTCCATAATCATCAGTCCATGTCCTTAGAATGTCTGCTTTTCTTCTGAATTTCTACACACAGTTGTTGAACAATTGTGGTTTATCTCAGTCCAAAGATTTGGACCAGTTCAAAGATTTGGCTCAGTGCAAAAGTACAAAGAACACTAGAAGCAATAAAGTTTTTCTAGAGGGGATGTTCCCAGTCCATTAAAATGGCTCCATTCATGTCATTTGTCATGTGTGGTGAAATATTTTGTTATTGTCTTCCTTTGCTTTTTCTCCTCCAAAATTTATACAAATCAAAATTAAAGTTAATGTCTCCATTCTCATTGCTGGAATTATTATACCTCAGCTTTCTAAATTTTGTTTAATATTATTGGAAAAATAATTATCAAACCCATACATTTCTACCATAAGAGTAATTATCCTGAAGTCTTATTTTTGATGAAAACTTCCTTATTAAATGATTTCAGCCTTCTATGATCCATAAACATTCTATATTATTGGTTTTCTTATTATTTTAGTATAAATTTTCTTCCAACTAAAATATTCATGTGGCATCACATTTAAAAGAAAAAAGAAAAAAGAAAAAAGGAACAGTATCATACCCTTTCAAATTATGTGGAAAATTTGAAACTACCAGTCTAAAATATTTGGTCCTGTCCTTGTTTTCACATATGATTTAGAACTTAGTGAGGTACAAACTTCTTAGATCTTATCGTTGACTGAAGATTATGCAGTTGATATTATTTTGCTTTCCTCTCTATTATTACAGAAAATAAAACTGAAAATGTCCTGTTTTCATGAACATTTTGTTTCATGAATGCATTTCATTCACTTTTTCATTGGAAACTTACCAATCTTTCAATTTTTTAATTAAAATATAAGATACTTATACAATACCAATGACTGCTAAGTAGAGAATATATAACTATTTTTCTTTCATTTTATCTTTGAAATGTAAGCATCTAACTAGACTATGTGATGCTATTTCTCTTCTTTATTTGTTTACATTTGAAAAGTTTTCTTTTATTATTCTATAGTTCTTTTGCGTGTTAACTCTACATTCTACTTCAGGTACTAATATCATTTATATATTGTAAATCACAAATCTAAACCTGTTGTTTGTGCATGTAACACTGTATACCATTTTTATTCCTTTTAAAACATTTCCTCTCAACTCTTTATTTACACTCAAACTTTTGTGTGTTTTTTAAAAAATATTTTATGGAGACATTATTTATTCTATTTTATTTTCAATGTGCATGCATTTTAAGTAAGTATTTTTTCATTGAAAATCTAATGCCAAGTTAAGAAGTCATATTATTGTATTTTGTTTACAAAGTAATTTATTTCAAGTGTTTAATTTTTCTCAAAGTTCTTATACCATGGCTTGTCTTCTTTCTACTACCGCATTTTTTTTAGTTAACTCAGAGTCTCATTCACTAACATTGTTATGCCAGCTTTATTGATCTTTATTGCTATTACCCAGATGTCTCATAAGATCACTTTTATATTTTAACTGTGCTGGCCATATACTCTTTTTTATCAAATTATTTCTGCAAGTACAAGATAGTTCTTAATGATAGGCTTGCCTGCCTATTTACAGGACTGGAATAGAAGCATGCATTAATGCAAAGTCACACCTGAGAAAGACTATTTTTACTCTATGTGTTGTGTTTGTTTAGATCCAAGGTGACATTGCTGAGCAGACATGGACTCATTCAAATATTTCTACTTTCCCATTTATATTTTGAACATTTATACTCTAGGTATGAGGTATGTCAAATTAATAGTTTGTTCATTGCTTATTTTTCTCATGGAGACATTTGATTGTTTTAGACTATTTTATAACTACAACAATAAAACCTAGAGTAGTTAGTTTATTTTTTTCATCTTCCTGAAGTTGTAGCAAAACTTTGAAAGGCATACATGGAATCTTTAAACAGAAAAAAAAATGCAAAAAGAAAATATAAAAAAGGGATGTATTTTATTCTGAATTTAAATGTGGTCCTTGAATGTGATAAAATTAATGAACCAATAATAAAGAGCTAGTTTCCTTACTACTGTGGACAAATACATAGGTGATATTGCTTTGAATATCAGTGTAGATTAAATAAGTTAACCATTTCAAGCAAAATAAATTAGGATTAGTTTTAGATAAACAGTTACTAGACTGTTAGGTGCATAGCAACATACAATATTCAAGTAATTCTATAACCACAATTTATTTTTAATTACTGTTTGCCTTCAGTATACATTTTATATTGGTTTCAGTATACAACATAGTGGTTAGACAATCATATAGTAGAGAAACCCTCCCCAATATTTCCAGTGCAATATTATTGACTATATTTCTTATGCTGTATTTTACATCCCTGTGACTCTTTTGTAATTACCAACTTGTACTTCTTAATTTCTTGACCTCTTTTACCCAGTTCCCCATTACCTCTCTCATCTAGCAATACCAGTCTGATATCTATGTTGATGAGTCTGTTTCTCTTTTATTTGTTTATTTTGTTCTTTAGATTCCACATATTAGTGAAATCATATGGTGTTTGGCTTTTTCTGACTGGTATAGTTCACTGAGCGTAATATCATCTAGGTCCATCTGTACTGTCACAGATGGTAAGATCTCCTTCATTTATGGCTGAGTAACACTCCATTGTTACAGGCACCACCACTTTTTTATCCACTCATCTATTAATGAGGACTTGGGTTGCTTCTGCATCTTGACTATGGTAAATAATGCTGCAATGACCACAGGGATGCAAATATTCTTTTGAATTAGTGTTTTGGGTTTCTTTGGATAAATACCCAAAAGTGGAATTGCTGCATCAAAACACAGTCTCATTTTTAAATTTTTGAGGAACCTCCAAAAATTAGCTGCTCCAATCTGGATTCTCATCAATAGTCATTGGGGATTCCCTTTTCTCCACATTTTTGCTAATGTTTATTGTTTGTGGATTTATTGATGGTAGCCATTGTGATATGCATGATGTTATATTATGTGGTTTTAATTTGTATTTCTATGACAATTAATAACATTGAGCATTTTTTTCCATATGTCTATTGGCCATCTATATATCATTGTAGAAGTGTCTATTTAGGCCCTTTGTCCATTTCAAATCAGATTTTTTTGTGGTGGGCAGTTTTTCTTTATAAATTTTGAATATAAGTCTCTTATCAGATACATCATTGGTAAACATGTTTTCCCATTTGATTGGCTGTGTTTCTTTGCGTTGGTGGTTTCCTTTGCTGTACAAAACTTTTTTAATTTTAATTAGTCACATATGTTTATTTTTTTTTGTTTCCTTTACCCAAGGAGATATATCAGAAAAAAATATTGCTAAAAGAAATCTTAGACATTTTACTGCCTATGTTTTCTTCTAGGAGTTTAATGATTTCAAGGCTTACATTTCAGTCTTTAATCCATTTTCAGTCTATTTTTGTGTATAGTGTAAGAAGGTGGTCTGGCCTTGCTTTTCTGTTTGGTATCCCTTGATTTGGTTTGTTTCTTTGATTGGTTGGTTGGTTTTTGCATGCATCTGTCTAATAATATCTCCAGCTTCATTTGTTGAATAGACTGTCTTTACCCAACTGTATGTGATATAGACACTGGCCCTCAGTGTCCAAATCATTATGGATGAAATGAGACATTTACATGGACTACTGAGTCTGGTGGAGGAAAAGGGACAGCATAGATTTTCTCTCAAGGGTAGCAAAAGCCATGGCCTCCACCATGACAAGCCTTTATTGGGTTTCTCCACCCATCACATGATGGTCCTCATTTACTCTGCCCCAGTTGGCTTTAGGTGGTTACCTTTTACAGAAAACAAAGGATCCAGTGCCACTAATGACATCACAGAAGAGGGATATTTGAAAATGAAAAGGCAAAAGTAGTTGAACAGGTTACACTCATCTTTGGAAGGTTTAGCACGGATTTTAGGAAGTTACTTTGCAGTAAATGTCCTCAATTCAGGGTGAGGAAGTTTTTAGCAAAAAGCAAGACTCAAAGAGGCCTCAGTACATTGCAAGCCTGATTCCCCATGGGAGAACCTATCTGTGGGCATGGGTCCTGTGCATCTCCCAGTGAGAGCTGGGCCCATGCCATGCAGAATAGTCTCCTACAGTATGTTCTTGGTTACTTTGCCAAATATTAATTGACCATATAGGTATGGGTTTATTTCTGAGCTCTCTATTCTATTCCACAGATGCAAACATCTATTTTTATGTCAGTAACATGCTGTTTGATTATATTACTCTGTAATATAGTTTGATACTATGACCCTGTAATAGAGTTGATACTTCCAACTTTATTCTTCTTTCTAAAGATTGCTGAAACTCTTTGGAGTATTCTGTGGTTCCATATATATTTTTGGAGTATTCATTCTGGTTTTGTGAATATGACATAGGTATTTTGATAGGGATTGTATTGAATATATAGGTTCCTTTGGGTAGTATGGACATAGTACTACTACCCATAGTACTACCCATAGTATGGGTAGTATATTTTAATGATATAACCATAATATCAATCATTGCTGGAGTAGTGAAAGAGAACTTCAAACACATAAACTAATTTTTAGTAATTTATGTGTTAGCATTTCAAACTTTTCACTTAGATAATTTATATTTCCCAATGAAGTATCAAAAGAACAATATGAATGTTTAATATAAAGAAAAAATCATGTTTGATAATAGATGAGATTTTTCAGTCTTTGTCATTTATAGACTAAATCTGACTTCAAATTCATAGGCTTAAAATTAAGGAAAATATTATTTTGTTCAGAAGATACAGTAACTTCTGACTGTATTTCTACTCCTAAAATCAAATGTATGTTTTTTATTGACTCATAGAATTTTTGAATTGAAATAATCACCTTTAGCAATCTATATATTGCATAGATGAAGAAACAAGGGTCTGAGGAGATTTGCACTGTCAAATTCATGATCAGTGTAAAAGCCCATCCTAAAGTCCAATGCACTGCTGTTTTGCTTTCATTAGAGTACTTATTATTTAAAATACAAAATACAATGGACATATATAAATATGGTAAAAAGAAGAAATGTGACTGTTTTCTAGATGCAATTAAGCATCTGTTTTGGAGTTTATATCCTGGTGCAAAGATTAAAGATACTCAAGACTTGGTTCAGTTTAATAATAGCTGCTTTCAGAAGTCTATAAGTATTATCAACCATGTGTAACAGTTTAATAGCATTTTAATATGTGCAAGTTTTATTAAACCATAAAAACTATGTTGAAATTACAATAAAATCCAAATTAGAATCACACAGCAGAGGTCTATAGAAATAAGTAAAAACATTTTAGATAACTGCTATTCTCTGGTACCATGTAGATCATTAAAGAATGTAGCAAATGATTTATAAAGCAATGTACTCAGACACAATGATACTTTGTTTTCTTTGTAGTATGTGAAATCCTGGTCCAGGCAATTTTTTCCTTGGTCTCTGTCTTTTGCTTAGTAGAATCTCATTCTATCCCCACAACTTTTCCAGCCTACAGTTGCAAATGCCCCTTCACTCTGATATTTCCATCCAAATTCAACTCTCCTTGTTTATTGCCTTCCTATTCCTGAAGTATTTCATTCTTGCCCTTCTCATTCACCTAGTTTCATTGCACTTTCTTCCAGGAGCTTAGAAATCATTATTTCATACTATTACATGTATTATGTTAAAAGACTGGTAAACTTAAAATTTGATTCCTTATGTTGATATCTTTCCTACTTAAAAAATTCAAGAAAATCAGTAAAATCAAATGAATTTTTACTTATAGGATCTCAGCAACCATCACATATTGTTAATTGAAACATATGAGAGAATAAGCCATACTGAATCCCCTCATATCATACTTGAAGAAAGATAGATTCTATTTCTTTATATTCTTGGATAGAAAAATCAGGAATGAAGGCTAAGAGATTGTAGGTAACTTAGGAAGATTACAGGGTAAGGGTATTGATTCTACATTATGCATTTTCAGCAATCATCGATCAAGCTTGCCACAAATTATGGCTCTATAAATTGGAACTAAATGTCTGTGTTTTAATAACAGGTGACTTACTATTATTCAGAGATTATATTTTAGAAACAAATTGATCATATATATTCTGAATCAACTGCTTCATTTTACCCTCTCCTCTAAAAAATAAACCTCTGACCAAGAATAAAAGAATTATAGGGAGAATTCATTTATAAGAAAAACGATTTCCATTATTTTGCCTTATAAAGTATGTAAGGGATAGGATAATAAGAAAATAAGAACAGCTCTCTTTCCTTACTAAGTCTACTATATAAGCATTATATTTGCTAGTTTAGCACATTGATTGAAAACATGGAGAGACTCAGTTTAAAGTAAAACCACATGAGATATCACCTCACGCTGGTCAGAATGGCCATCATTAATAAATCACCAAGCAGCAAGTGCTGGAAAGAATGTGAAGGAAAGGGAACCCTAGTGCACTGTTGGTGGGAAGGCAGACTGGTGCAGCTACTGTGGAAAAAAATATGGAATTTCCTCAAAACTAAAAATAGAACTGCCTTTTGACCCATTGATTCTACTGCTGGGACTATACCCTAAGAATCCCAAAACACCAATTCCATAAACTTATGCACCCAATGTTCATAGCAGCACTACTTACAATAGCCAAGTGCTTGAAACACTCTCAGTGCCTACCAGTAAATGAGTAGATGAAAAAATTGTAGTACATTTATACAGTGTTATACTATGCAGCAGAAAGAAAGGACTCCTACCTTTCCCA